TTAAAGTAAATTGTGATATGCAGGGGTAATGACACGGACAGGACTGACAGCAATCAAAACGTTCAGAGATTCGGAGTGAACCCGTATGAACTAAAAATCGTGAGTACCAGTAAATAAGCTTGCACAGTTCTGGGTTAGAGGTTTTCTCATCGAACCATTGAACTGAAGTGTCCCCCTGCTTTAATCCAGGTGCTTATAAGTGCATTTATCCTTGGTTGTATCTACATATTAGGACCTACAAAAGGATCGGTCTGAAGTTCGGATCTCATTTGAAAATGTTTTTTTTTCCTTTATGCTATCCATGAACTCATATAAAGAATTCCTTTTGATTTTGACCCATGCAACCGGGAATTGATCCCGCTTTTTCTCATTCCCTTTGAGCTCCACCATTATTCACATTTACATTGTGGCAGCGCCCTTGTATGAGTGGTTAGTATGAATGAGATGGACAATGTGGTCAATCAGTTTTAATGGGTGCATAGATTGAAGGTTGTGCTAAATCAGTGGTTCTCAACTTGTGTAACCTCAGGATCCACATTTGTCCCTGGCCATTAAGTCACGACCCAAGTCGGCAATGTCTGCACTGCAATGGAACGCACAGCATTAAGGTACCGCGCGTTCCGGTGCGGGCGTACAAACTGTGGGTGGAAGGTGCGTTCGAGGTCTCACTCAAATAAAATGGAAAAGCAACGCACCTCCCACACCAGAATGCACGGTAGGTGCGATTGCGTAGTACAGTGTGAGCAGGCCCTCCAAAACACTGACATACATACACAAACACAATCTCACACACTCAGACATTATCACACACACATGCACACTGCCAAAAATTTATATATTAAAAAAAAATGTTTTAAGTCCACCCGGTCTCCCTACCTTACGAGAACTGGAGTGGATCCTCAGCCTGGGGTCCAGTGTGGGCTGCTGTGCTATGACAGAGCTCCATCCATATGTGCTTTGCTTGTCCAGCTCCCTTGTGTGCCCTGTAGAGGCGCCGGGAGCCAGATTGTGATGTCACTCCAGTCCAGGCACCTCTATAGGACATGTGAGGGAGCTGTAAGCAATGCATGTATGGATGGCGCTCCCTCGCAGCCATTACCCCACCTGAAACTGGCATTCGGCACCGGGAAGCATATTTTGAATGGCTGCATAGCACGAGAACTGACAGTGCTGCGCTAGGAGGCTCTCACCTAGAAAAGTGGAAGGCATGCGGCGACCCATTGAACACGGGCTCGTGACCCACTTTTGGGTCACGACCCACCAGTTGAGAACCAAGGTGCTAAATGATACAAGTCATGTACAACAAATTAGATTTTTGTATTTTGTAATACATTTATACATTTTTTGATACTTCTTTGCTACTCCGATCCAATCGAAGTAAACCTATGTTCAGAGAAAACAGTGACAGTATATCAGTATATCTGGACAGTAGGCACCTGTAGGTCCAGCAGTGGCGTCACAAGGAGGGTGCGGGGGGTGCGGCCCACACCCGGGTGACACCATTGGAGGGGTGACACCAAAATGACTGACAGTCATTTTGGTGTCACCCCCCTCAGAAAAGTCGGGTGAGGTCTGACAATACAGTACTCTAAAAAGACAGAAATGATTTAAATACAACTGCCCCTATCCGAAATAAAAAAACACAGTTATTCAAAATGAAAAAATCAGGTTTTGGATGCTGTAATTAATATACCCACTTTCTCAAGCTCATTAGGTTTGCAGCACATCCATCTACCTTTACAGTACATATACTGAATGTTTATGAAACACAAAAATGGTAGGCATGCTCTTCTTCCCTCTAGCTGCCCAGTATTATATGCTTCACCCTGATCCCCTAGTCCTCACTTTTTCTTTTACAAGAGTACTACACAATGCAAAACAAATCATTTCAGTCCTTATGGTGGCCCTCTTTTGTTGAGTCTGAAAAACTTCAACAGGGTGCATGGATGGAATTGGTTGCTACACTTCTTTTACTTATAATGGCTCAAGAAAGCCTGTACTTATGCTGTGAACAAAGCAAATAAATTGTCACATGGCTTCCTAATTTCAGCTTGTTCTCCCAGTCATCTGTGGGTTTGCTCTTGAGGGTCCAGTGTCTTCTCACAATCCACAATAACTGCTACTAGGTTAATTGGTTTTCCATCCACAATGGTCTCATCTACGCATCTCTGCTAGGGGCACTAGACTGCAAATTCCAAGAGACTTGTGAATGGTTCAACATTCCCTGAGAGGTGTACCATACATCAGTGCTGTGAAAATCAAAATAGAAAGAAAAGAACAAAAACATGAATCTTGTCAGATTGTCATACTCTACAGTCAGTACTCTAAGAAAACTAAAAAGTATAAGTTGTTTAAACCTTTCGTGCTCAAATGCAGCTACTGGTCATGTTCTTGATAGTAAACAACCTGTATAACGATGGCCAGTATTACTATTAATGAAGGAATGATAGTGTGGAACCCAGGAGTACCCACTCACAGTGATACATTCACATGGTGAGTGTTGTTGTAGCTAGACGTCATGGTTCATTTTCTTTACAACTAGAATAGTTATAGTTATCATTGCTTACATGGGTGAGTGATATCATTTATTTGATTGTAAAAGTTTATATACTATCCGTGCTTATTTTACTGAGCATTTTAAACATTGAAGAAAGACCTTTTAGTGGGCTCTCTACACTCAGGGCATCTTTAATGAGGGGCAAAAGGGGCAGTCGCCCCAGGTCCAGTCATTGTTGTGGGGCCCATAGCAGCTGCCCCATGAGCCCACCAAAGATACACATACACATTGTGCCTGTGATCCGGTGCGATCAAAATGCTGCAAGCACTATTTTGATCGCACCGGACCGCAGGCACAATGTGCCTTGTGACCCCGTGCAGGCGATCGCATTGTGACCAGGGGCAGTGGCTACAGTGCCATACACTTCAATGGCCTGCCACGCCCCTACGACTCTAAGCAACCTGTGACACTCTGTCTTGCTCTCTCAGCCCAGCTCACTGATGTCATCAGTTGCCAGGGACCTGAGCAGGACACTCTGTCAGGGCCAGTTCACACCAGCTTCAGTGTGTTCCAGCAGGATTTGCTGCTGGAGCGCACTGGAGCACATGCCGGCCAGCTTCCTGCGTTCAGGGGCAGGAGGGGGCATGGCGGTGCATTGAACTCAATGGCACCGCACCCATGCCCCCACCCCACCCCCACCAGTAGTGCAATCACCCGTGCCAGAACATGTGGCGCATCAGTGCCTGCGTTCCGGTCCAGTGCGATCTTAAAAAATTGTGAATGCAGCATTTTTTCAGATCGCACTGGACCGGGTTGCAGGCACTGATGTGCCACGTGTTCTAGTGCAGGCGATCACATTGACCTCAACGCACCCTTCTGCCACTGAATGGAGGAAGCTGGCCAGGATGTGCTCCAGCAGCGAATGGTGCTGGAACGCACCTAAACTGGTGTAAACCGGCCCTCAAGAGTCTTGCCAAACTCCTGGCAACCAGTGGCGTCAGTGAGCTGGCTGGGACTGGGCAGAGAGCTGCTGACAGCACTGCTCTAACCCTGCCGCCTGTTCCACCGCATCAATCCCCCTCAGCACGATGAGTAGCTTCCCAGCCGGCCGTTGTAATTATACGGCCGGCCGGGAGCTTTACATTCAAGCGATTGGGCGTCTCCAGAGAGGCCTGATCGCTTGTATTAGCAGCTGCTGTCACTGCCGATGCTGGTCCCGAGATCCGCTGTGCCCGGTGCGGCCGGGACCGGCACGACTGCTCTGTGACAGGATATCAAAGGGAGTTGGGACACAAACTCCCTTTGATCTCCTCTGCAGTCCCCCGAATTCAGGATGTGATGTATATTACATCACTTCCACATTCCTCTGTCACTCTATGGTACAGAAGCTGGTGAAGCAGATCTCTGCTTCATCAGCTTCTCTGGGGGTCCCTAGGTGACATTAATGTCTCCATAAAGAGGACCTGTCATGTAAATTGGCTATCACATGGGGGGCTTTTTAGCCCCCCATGTGATAGCAATAAAGTTAAGTGGAAAAAAAAGTAATACAAAAATTAAAGAAGCATAAAAAAACACTTTTTTTAAAAAAATCCCCCGCCCCCCACATACACGCGCAAACATGCGTCGGGTGCGCCTACGTGTGAAAAAGACGATTGCGCCTATTGTGCCGCACATGTTACATATCGCCGCGAACGTCGGAGCGAGAGTAAATATTCTCGGGCCATTAATCACTGATAACACTAAACTGATGAGCAATAAAATCGTTTAAAGCGTCACCTATGAGCAATTTTCGGTGTTGTCGTTTTTGGGATTTTGCGGGCACACGCAATTTTAAGGCTTGACATGTTTGGCATCTATTTACCCGACGTGAACACGTCTTTTATATTTTACCAAAAATATGGGTAAGAATAAATGTTTCCTAACATAATGTAGGGAAAACAATTTTTTTTTTGAGGCTATATTCAGGTCATGCTGACTGGTGAGACAAGCTAACATTTTTTCAAGCCCTGGCTATCAGCAAAGCCCCCCCATTTCTATGGTCTCTGGTGGCATATAGGGTAGGATGGCCTTGAATGTGCTGCATCACAGTACAGGGTGGATTGTACACCAAAACAGTACCATGTTTTTCATATCCTTTATATAAAAGGAAGTATATTTTTTCAGTCAAAATCTGGCAACAACTACAGTACCTGTAGCTGCTGAATTTGACTTTTGTGGCTAGCCCATTAAAGAAATGACCTTTTAGATGAAGATTAGAGAGACAGAGGTCCCCATCACACAAAACCACCCCTATAACCTCTTTCCAACACAGCCTCAACCTTTCCTTCACAAACAATGTAAACAGAGCTCCGTGGACGGTCACTTTATACACTTGTATTTAGTGACTTCCGTCCGTGTCCACACCCTGAAGTATGCCATGTCTGTACTTTCCCCCCTCAAGTTGCAGTCAGCAGAGCCGGCCATTTCCCTGAGAGGTCAATAAGTGTAAAGTGAGTGAAGTGGAGAGCAGGAAATGAGTGTGGGTGCAGGGCTGCTATTTGTTGTCTTCTTGGAATATTTGTGCTGTCTAATAGCACACAGCCTTCCCCCTCCTCCCACATTGCCTGACTGACTTCCCACAGCCTCCCTTTGCCGCCTCGTACTGTGTGTGTGAGAGAGAGTTTAGTGGGACTGACTGGGATCATATTACAGAGCTGTGAGCGGCGAGGTGAGCACGTCAGACCTGGCTGGGAGCTGGGCAGGGCAGGTGGGTGTCAGCTGCTCCTTCTACATACATGTGGGAAGGCAGGACTGAGAAGAGTTGGTGCTTTGGGAGGTTCATAGGCTAGTATCAGTGTACTCAGCTTCCCCCCACACCCTATGTGTGCGGTGTACAGGTCTAAGTCCTATCTCTTCTTTACATACAGGTGATCATCCTGTAAGCAGCTGCTGGACGAGGAGTGGCTTGGAGCCTCAGACCTGGATTTTGTGAAGCCCCTGCTCCTAAAATGGCTGTCAGATCTCACTACCAGGTAAGGCTGAATCTGGGTCACCCATGTCTACTGATTTCCATGTGTCTCCCTTCACATGCTGGGCAGATCAGCACCTCCAACAAGTCCTCCAAGTACTGGACTGTCTCAGAGCAGCCATGTACTACACCTGACCCACAAAAGCAGTCTCCCATGGGGGGCTTTTGCGGCATTTTTGTAGCATGGTTATTTTTATTTTAGTCACAAAGGCTGACGTAGACTTTACAAAGTCTGATTTTGTACTTTTGAAATGCTGTTTCTGCGTTTTAAAATGAGCCGTGTGTGACTGTTGTTTGACAAAGGAAACACGAGACGCGCTAGGGACCGCGAGAAATCCATTTTGTTGTTTGGTGACAAAAAGTTCAGATATGGTTGTTTTTTTTTCTTTTGGAACTCCAGTGGATGTTTCCAAGGACCCGAAGTCTCTGGAAGCGTTCATTAACCTATAATCCTGCCTCTGCAAGAGGATGTAATGCTTTCACAAAACAAGTAGTGTTCAGGTTTGTTATAGGTTGTCCTTGTGTGAAGACATTCATTAAAGTCAGATGGATGTCTCTTGTGTCATTTCATATCGCATATAATAATATTTTCTTTTTTTGCTGTACGCATGTTTTTTATTTTTATTGAGCTTTTTTCACAACATTATATTGCATTAAATGACACACTATTGAAATCCCTATCTGGTATATCCAACGTATGACGTATTGTGCATTTTTCTGTACATTCCCAGTCCGAGTACATCGTAAAGTAACGCTAAACTCCCGATTTAAATCTTACAAATGCATTCAGGCACAATAATTTCTAACAAAAATGTGTCACTCGGCTGTAGATCCTCAAATCATCTCTGAATTAGTGATGACACTGTCCTTCCTTCTGGAGGGTGGCTACTTTTGTTCCCCATGGTGCCTGTGTGTGTTGTAAAGTAGCCATCACTCCAAGTTCACTCCTGTGATGGACTACAATCTCACGTTTAGTTTACTAATTTGTACCAGTTTTTCTGCATCGAATACCGATAAATTCGTTTTTTTGGGTACTCACCGATACTGGAATTCTATTAAGGAAGCTGGACGGTGTGGAATGACTCGCCGCTCCAGGCTTCCTGATTAGCCAGATGACGAGGAAGCATGGAGCCAGGTTTCTGGCCAATCGGGAAGCCTGGGGGCGGGTAATGACTCGCCGCCTGGCTTCCTGATTCTGCAGCTTCCGGACTAGTCAGGAAGCTGGACTGTGAGCCATTACCTGACGCCTGGCTTCCCTCATCACCAAGGGACGTGGCAGCATGGAGCCAGCTTCCCGGCCAATCAGGAAGATGGGCACCATGTAATGACCCGCCGCTCGTTTCCTGATACCCGAAGTTCCGGTATTGGGAGCATATGGTCGACTACTCGCCCAAATACTCGGTGTCGGCACCGAAACTAGTATTGGGGCATCCTTACTAATTTGTATTGAGATTGTAGTCCATCACAGGAGTGAGCTTGGAGCGATGGCTACTTCACAACACACACAGGGACCATGGGGAACAAAAGTAGCCACCCTCCAGAAGGAAGGACAGTGTCAGCACCAATTCAGAGATTATTTGAGGATCTACAGCCGAGTGATACACAAATAAGTAACATTATTGTTAAGGGCTCAGTCACACTAGATGCAGTGCCTTCCGGCCCGATTTTGGCTGGAACACACTGCCTCGCATTGCGGCCGGCTCACTTTTTAGTGGGGTAGGAGGGGGCGTGGCGGCCATTCAAGTTAATGGCGCAGTAGCCACGCCCTCCGGCCGCAATGCGTTCCGCCGCACGGGATCGCAAGGCATATTGTGCTTGCGGTCCGAACCTGTGCGATCAAAATGCTACAAGCACTACTTTGATCGCATCGCACAGGCCCGGACCGCAAGCACAATGTGCCTTGCGATCCCGTGCGGCGGATCGCATTGTGGCTGGAGGGCGTGGCTACGGCGCCATTCATTTGAATGGCCCACCACGCCCCCTCCTACCCCACTAAAAAGTGAGCCGGCCGCAATGTGAGGCAGTATGCTCCGGCCAAAATCGGGCCGGAACGCACTGCACCCAGTGTGAATGAGCCCTAACAGTTGAGGAAGTATTCTGGGTAAAAATGTTTGTAACCCTTGCAGTAGGGCTAAGTGCTCGTTTTTTGCCTAGGGTCAAAAATAGAAAAGTCATACTCACCTGATCTTCTGAGGCGGCTGGCTGTCACAGTGCACCTTCCTGTCTGTCTCCTCCGCAGCAGCAGCGATGGTATGTCCCTCAGCACCCTCAAATCCTGTACACTGTAAAGAATGCGATGACTCGGGGACCTTAGACCACTGCAGCGCAGGGGGAGAGAGGCTCCAGAAGCCGGTCTAAGAGCCGGCCAGCTCAGAGGATCAGGTGCGTGGAACGTTTATTTTTGAGCCTAGGCAAAAACAAGCACTTAACCCTTGCAGTGTGAGGGTAGCCCTACTGCATGGTTTATTGTGTACCAGGAGTTCTTCTTTAACCTCTTGCCGTCCGCCCGTAGTAAAAAAACGGACGGACGGCACTGCAGCATCTGCAGGTTGCCGTCTCCAGACGGCAATTTTTTTCTGCTCGCGCGCGCCCCCTAGCGGGCACGCACGGGCAGAAAAGACCCGTCCAATGCGAACACCCGGTACCGGGTGTTTCACATATAGGCGATCGGCGGGTCCATAGCCC